AGCTAGAGAGAAGGTATTCCAAAAACAAGCAGAGCAGACTTCCCTACAGTTACAGGCTGTAAAATTAACTGAAAGTGGAAAAGGAATAAATATTTGTGGTTCCTCAGAGTTCTTTCTTGAATAGTGTTAAGTTTGTCTGCATGCAGAATTCTGAGTCAGAGCCTCTTGGTAATGCAGAAATACTGAACTGCATTCTCATCAGTAATAGTTGACCATATCAGTTCTTGATTAGAAATGTGTGGAAAAGAGAGTTCCTGTCCTGTGGAAATTCTGGGAACACTCTAAAGATAAGACTTCCTTGCCTGGCTGGCATGTTGGATAGCTACCCTGCCTCATTTCCATTATTAATTTTGATGGAACATTGCAATTCTGTGGAACATTGTGAATTTGGAAAGCAACATTTTAAAATAAAAAATGAATAAAACTCCTTTTATCAAGAGGCTGATTATTAAATATAGCTTTTAAAATACTAATTTCAGAAGAGCAGATGTAGTCATAAGGCTGTGTTCAACCTGCTGTGGGAAGTGCACTCATCATCAGAGTGCAAGTGCAACTGGATAAATCATGTGTACAAGTGCTATGTGTACAACACCTAAGGTGTGAAGAAGTTCTCCTAGTCTTTGCTGTGGTCTCATCATAGTCTTGCCTTACTGTATCCCGTTCAAAGCAAAATATCAGATAAAGTTTTATGCCTATCCAGCCATTTCTGAGGATGGTGTTAAGTTTTTGATCCTTCCACCTTTGTTTATCTTAGTGATAAGGCTATGTCTCTGGCACAAAAGCAGATGGTGTGGGATTAGAAAATTCCCCTTTTGTTTTATATTGTGTTCTGCTAATGGTATTGTTTGCTGTAATAGGTTTTTTTTCATATTTGTAAGTTAAGCAAGACTGTACAATGGATATTCAATAGGTAATGATTAAAACATGTCACACTTGAAATTTCTGTGACTACACTTGTGTTCCTTAGGGAAGAATGCTTATGTAACCAGGTATTTAACAGCTAGTACTTTAGATTACTATGTGTCATATACTCTACCTGATAAATCGGATACCACAGGGGCAGAGAAATGCAATAATTTTTTTGACTGACCTCAAAAACAGGAGAAAACAAGGATTCCCTCTTATATCTCTTTTTAGAATAAGAGACCATCTATTTTTTTCCAGACCAAAGCTTTCTTGTGAAAAGACTTATGAAGTATTTAACTAACTGGAACTTTGCATGAAATGTTAAATTAACTTTGCTTTGGCTTAAAAGCATTTCTTTGACAACAGAGATGTATAATCATGTTAAAAGCCCTCAGGCTGCTGGAAGCATAATGCTGCCTGTTACTATAAGGTAAATGCAAGTTGTACTCCAAAACAACTGCTCAATAAATTGTACCTCTGGTTTGAAGGTAGAATTTCAGGTACAGAAATCCTCTTTCATGTGATTTGATTACTTTAAATATTGAAAGACAGATTTTTTGCTATCTTGGCCTTTGTCCAAACAGTTAGGATTTTTCCCTGTGCACTTCCAGGAAAGCTGTGTCTGTGAAGCTTGTACCCCCTGGTTGGTGCTTCAGCAACAAGGCTGGAAAAGTTTTCAGTGTTGTATCTGACACTGTAGGTTGCTGTGTGCTTCTGCAGCTTCTTTGTTTTTAATTTGCTTGTGTTAAGCCATATTGTTTCTTCTTCAAAGAATTGCTGTGCTTGAGAAGTGCTGTCCCATTCCATGCAGTAAAATGCAGTGAATTCATTACAGTTTAAGGACAGAACTAGTGAAATTTGAGGCAAAAAGCAAATAATGACTCAGAAAGCAAGGCTGTGTGTGTGGCTACTGAACGTGTCTTTATGCAGTGTGTATGTGGGGGGGTGAATGTGTATGGAGGAAATGGAAAAGGTTTTTTTTGCTACAAAATGCTACATTGAGCATTTTGTAGGCATTCTTGTTTATACTAGGATGAGTCTTCAGTGTTTTATTACCTTGCAAGATAACTTCAGCTTCTCTATTAACAGAAGAAAAAAAAAGTAGAGACAGTGTATTTTTTGACTGGATTATCGGAGTTTGATCAATCACTGGAGTTAACATGTCCTGCTCAAAATATTTGCAAACATGACTGGCAGTATTGCAGTATGTTTGAATATATCAGCTGTTTGATGCAGATGAGAACCAGTAAATGGTATTTTTACTGCAGTTACATAAAGATGCAGTTGTCATACTAATGCTTTTATATATTAATAGACAACAAAACAAAACAGGTATGACAGCTTTTTCATAGTAAATATCTGAGAATGAGATCTCTTACTGAAGTAGTCTAATGTTTATAAATCTCTTTCCTGAGCACAGTAAGTGAAGGTTAATCTATGCAGGTCTGATCTAAATTGTGTTATCCTGACTGATGCCATCTGAAAATGACATAATTTCTGTAATTCATTTTATCCCAGTCATCCAGTGTTTGTCCATTTTACAATTTACCTTTCGTCTAGCTAAACAAAAACTCATTGCCATGAAGAGAAATCTCTGATCTCCTGTGTAGTTTGATTTAAGAGTTCTAGCTTCATCATTAACCTCCACATTCTTTTAATTCTTAGAGATATTGACAGTTCATGTTTCCTGTCAGGTTTAGCTGTGATAACTGCAGGAGTAATCAAATTTTTGTCCTATTGTAGCTAAGCCTTATTGGGCTTATGCATCTTTGTCTTCTGGATTGTGGGATTCTCTGCCCAGGTTTTTGCTTGCAAAGACCTGTGAGAGGAAGCCTTACATCCATGTGCCTGCTTTTCCTGAAGATGGCTGATTAGCATGCAGTAGACTAAGAAAACTAGTTGTATCGGAGATGGTGAAAGAGGAAGCAGTCTCAGACATGTAAGATGAGCAGTATGCTTGGATGGCATACTTCAGGGTTGCATTTATGGGTAATGTATACTGGAGAGCAGTTGGAGGGTTGTTATTACTAAATGATAGTAAGATGCTAAAAAGCCATTTAGCTGAACATGAGGAAATGAAATATTGGTGAAATCATGTCTCTTGGATCTGCAAGAGGGAAAGGAGAAGAGAAACAAATTCAGCTCAGTGAAGAGAAATACAGGAAAGGGGGGGAGAAAGGTATTGCTAGTTGGTGTCACTACAACAGAGGGACCTTGACAGGCTTGAGAGTTGGGCCGGGGTGAACCTCATGAACCACAAGGCCAGATGCAAGGTGCTGCACCTGGGCCTGGGCAATGCCGAGCACAAACACAAACTGTGTGGAGAGGGACTGAGAGCAGCCCTCAGGAGAAGGACTTGTGGGTGTTAGTGGAGAAAAAGTTCATTATAACCTGGCAGTGTGTGTCTACATCCCAGGAAGCCAGAAAGTGTCCTGTCTGCATCCGAAGCAGCGTGGGCAGCCGGGGAGGGAGGGGATTCTGTCCCTCTGCTCTGCTCTGCTGAGAGCCCACCTGCAGGGCTGTATCCAGCTCTGGGGTCACAGCACAGGAAGGACATGGAGCTGTCCCTGTTGGAGTCCACAGGAGATCCATTAAATCAATCACAGCACTGGAGCAGCTCTCCTAGGAAGACAGGCTCAGAGAAATGGGAATGTTCGGCCTGGAGATGACTGCAGTAAGACCGTAGAGCCGCATTCCACTACCTAAAGGGGAATACAGGAAAGTGGAGAGGGATTTCTGACAAGGATGCACAGTGATAGGATAAGTGTGAATGGCCTTAAACAGAAAAAGGGCAGATTTAGATAAGGTATTATGAAGAAATTATTTAGTGAGAGGGTACTAAAAATAGGATGAGCTCCTGAGCTTTATTTTCGTTCTTTATCATGGCAAATCAAGCAGAAATGCATGCTGCAGAAGAACATATAACAAAAATTATATTGAAAAGAGTTAATGAAGACAGTTTGTTGCTAGTGAAGACTTAGAGCATAAATGACTGTATCTCTTCCAGTCATCGTATTCTTCAGTAAGCTGTCTTTCCTGAGAATGGAGGGAATATAAGGAATGGAGACTGTCTCCTGGATTTATTACCCAAATGTATATTGATGGCTGTATTCCATCAAGGGAAGGAGAACCTAAGTTTATTCCTTATGTCCACGTAGACCTAAGACTAGACATAAAGAAAAAAGGTTAGCTTAAGAAAAATTGCACATTTATAATTATTAAGGGTAATGTAATAATTATATGCTTCGTTTGAGAGATTAAAATTTTGACACCCAAAATTCCAGTTAAAAATAGCAGACAGTACATCAGCTTGTACATGCCCACAACAAAAATGTTTACTTTCATGTGTTTGTTTCTGAAATATTTCTTAGCATCAGTCACATATGTTTCACCAATTAAGAAGCATTGAAAGTAAATAAACTGTAATGTTTCCATGCAGCTAGCTTGACAACAATGATGTGCACAAGAGAAAAACTTAGTCTTATATTTTGTGTGTGTAATTATGAAGAAGGTAGATCCTTCCCTTCAATACTTTGCTTTCATACAGTGGGTTTGTCTTCTCTTTTCCTCTTGTTTGTAAGGCTCTTAATTTTATTAAGTCAGAACAATTCAAAACTCATAGTACTTCAGCTTCTGAAGATTCAGGGTGAAAGGTTACTTTGTCTATTTACTGATTGCAGCTAAGTGAAAAGGTAAAATTAAAATTACAACTTGCTACATATTATTTGCTGTGTATTTTGTTTTGTATATTTCTGCACTCTTTTGGACTGTTTTTCTAAATGGATATGCGAAATGTTTTGATAAGTTTTTCCACTTGTACATGAGGTTGCTGCTTATCTGTTACTTTGCTGTGAAAGGGACTTCTGTCAGATTCAGACCTCGTTGGGTTCTAAACTATGGTGTCTTGTGAAATTTAGTTTTTGGTTTTCTTGGGAGCTCTGAAGCCTGTGGACAGGAAGTCCATTCCTTCAGCCAGCGGTGAAAAATGCTACAACTGAGTACAAAGCCTAGTATTTAACTTGTCCTTTGAACTTTTCTCATTTGATTTTTCTCATCATTTCCACTCATGATAATTGTCTTCTACTGTGTTACAGAACAGGAGCAAACGCCTGGAAAAAGTCCATGTTGTTCTTGGGAATAAACCCTGTGATTTGGATTCACTGATTTCTACCCTGGCCTACGCCTACTTTCTAGACAAGGTAATGGAAAAACTGGACTAAGTGGTCTTAATTCATTTTTTCCAGGTTGTTACAGACATCTTATTGTTAAGTTAATTGTAAAAATATTTTTCTTGGACCATGATTTTGTTATTATTGAAAGTGAGTTTCTAAAAATAAAATAATCAACATTTCTTTCCATACAAAAATAAATGAGTGGTTATTAGATGGCTTATTGAATAACATAAGAAAATCAGTCCTGTGCTTCATTCCTTATCCTTTTCTTCTCTTGGTTTCCCAGGTACTCTGTAGCAGGCAAAAAGTGACAGGTGAAGGAAAGTGTGAAATACCTCTTTTTTTTTTTTTAACTAAGTGAAGGGGAGGAAACCTGAAACAGAAAATCTAGGCTGTTTCTAATTGCTTACTCTGTTAAAATGCCATCCTGATGAAAGACAAGTCCAATTCTCACAAATACACACCTATGTTACAGGTCAGTCCTCCTGATGTTCTCTGCTTACCTGTGTTGAATATACCAAGAAAAGACTTCAGCTACTTTACTGAAACAAGATTTATTTTGGACGAGCTGAAAATCCCAGAGTCATTCCATATCTTCCGAGATGAAATCAATTTGCATCAGCTGAATGCTGAAGGGAAATTGTCTTTAACGCTTGTAAACAGCAACATGCTGACAAGGTATTGTTTTATGTACACTAAGGTGGATTATATGAGTTTGAGCTATTTCAAAAATTAGATTTTTTCTGTATTAATATTGATATTGCTATGTTAACACAGACCCAAAAAAAAGGAAACTAAAATGTATTTTGTCTCCCTTTATGTTGAATGAGTGTAACAGGGCGCACGGTCATCTTTGCATCACTTTTAATGGAACTTTCACTTTTAAAAACCTTATGTTTTCACACGTCTCAGATTAGATATTTTAATGTAGTTAAATAGTCTGGAGGTTTCCTGTGGCCAGTAGATAAGAGATTAGAGGTTTTTTTTCTGCTTCTTAGTTAGCTTTCCTTTGAGAATCTTATAGATTTGCAGGTGCCCAGACACTGGGATATGTGCTGTTAAGATGGCCGATGGATTATAGTGGTCCTTACCAATTACGGCCTTTCAAAAGGCTCAGAGTTGATGTCTGGAAGATCAGGGTCCCAATACCCATCCTTAAGAGGGACCATTTACAAGGCTATTGTGAATCTTTTATGAAGAGCCCCTTTATAATGGTCTGCCTGTCTTCCCCAGAGTGAAGGATGCTGTTTACTTCCAGTTGTCCTTAGAACTTCATGTAAGACAAGTAGCATCCTGTAGCCCCATTGTGCTCTGAGAAGTTTGTAGATTAGACTACAAGTAGTGAAAATCTAAAGAAAAAATATGTGCGAATCTCTTAGCTGTTGGCGTGCTAAGTTCCGTCAACTCGGTGCATCATTCCCTCCTCAGAGCAAAAATTATCTGTAAGATCTGTCTTTTGTTTATTACTGTCACTTCCTGTGTTTCTTGCTTCCGAAGAATTACAATTAGGATTTTATTATTAAAATTATTTTGGCTTGGTTGCTGCTGTTGTAAACAGAAAGTATCTAAATAAAAAATTTGTTGATAAGTTTTCAGAATACTCAGTTGGGAAAATCCTACATTTTCTCTATATAAAGAAGGCTATTTTCAGCACATATAGAAATACTTTTTTTCAATAGTTTTTAATAGATTTTGATGAGGGGAATGTTGTACTTAGTGATGTATTGAGCAGTTAAAGAGCTCTGAACACTTAATTTAAGAATCATGGATTTAGGACCTCTGTGACATCCTTTGGCTTTATAGCAGATTTCAGGTAACTATAACAATGCTGCTGTAGTCCAGAATTAAAAAAAATTATGTTGCACTTTCTTACTGAGTTGTCTATAGCTGTAAATATAAATACATGTGTAACTTCTAAATTTGCTTGATAGTGAGGATAAAAGTTTGGAATCAGCTGTTGTCAAAGTCATCAATCCAGATGAGCAATGTGACAGGAGCCTGGAGTTACAAGCATGTTCTTCCTCTTTAGTCGTAAAAGAGATTCTTCAGAAGGCACCAGAGTTAATCACTCAGCAACTGGCTTATCTCCTCAGAGGTGAGAGATTACTCTTTATATTAAATACTGAAAGGTTTAATGGAGTGTTTCTGAATTTGCTCATGCAGAAAGAGTGTGATCCATTCTTTGGTTAACAATCCCTTTAAAGACCACAGGAAGCTTCATAAAAGAAGCAGGGAGTAAAGAGTTTGTTAAAGAGTAACATTATATTGAATATTAAAAATGTGCATTTAAAAATAGGCATGAGAGGTCTTTGCTGTATCACTAGACAAGAATATTAAATGAAGCTGTCGACATACCAGCTGGGTAGCTGGAAAAGCTCTGCAGTTCGTTGATTCCAGGGGCATTGTGGACAACAATATGGATTGGAATCTAATATTTACAAGTTAAAGCTTCTCCCTCCCAATGGTTGTACTTTTTTTATGGAATGATATTTTAATGGCCTGATGCAAAACTTTTTGCTGTTTAAAAACAGTATTACCAAATCTTCATTGTGCTCTCCTTTCCATTTGTAGTGTATGCCCAGCAGAGTACAAACTGGGGGTGGGCTTCAACAATCAGAAGTATTTTCTTCTCTGTTTTGGCAGTTCATAATTTATATTCATTTCCTTGGTTTATTTGCTGCACAGAACTTTCTCGTTGGAAATAAAACTGGTGTTGAAAAGAGCAGTCACTGCTTTTAAGTTACTTACTGTGTTTTAATAATGTTCAATGAATTTTATAGGTTTTGAGTTTTAATGATGCGAAACTGCTAAATGTCCTTTTAAGAAATTAATGTGGGCATGTTTAATGAGCATTATGAAAACTTGTCTACATTTAGATTTCAGAAGCAATGAGAATCTTGGCAAATCATTGTACTCATCGCCATGATAACTAAGAAGCATGTTATAAGAAATCAAAAAGATTAATTTTTTTAAGGATTCTGCAGAATAAGCATTAACAGTAGCACAGCATTTAGCCTGTCCTTACAGTATCTTTCCATGCTAAGCTTTAGTTAACCTGCCATGAAACATTTTTGTAAGCTCCAAATTTCTGTTGAGTAGCTCTCCAGGAACCTAAGCAAATGACCAAGCATAATAATTGGTTTTGGAAGCAGAACAGAAAAAGGGTTTTGGTGCATACTTGTTTGTTGGTGGCGAGTCTGAGGGAGAGGTCTGAATAATATTCAAGACCATGTTCGAGTACTGTATGTGAATGTGTCAGCATGTTTTGTGCCTCTAATATGTATCAGATTAAAATAAAGTGCTTTTATTAGTGTTTGCATTATAGATGGCACTTACAGTTTTGGGGAATATAGTAGCTAATTTTATTTTTTTTTAATCAACAAGTAATTACATTTTGATTATTACACTCGGTAGAACAAATTTTAGGAATTAATGGATAAAAGTCCCTGCATACATTCTTTTGCATTGTACGAGAAGTGACTGGCAAAGCCTAGGGAACAGAACACAGCTTCACTTAAGACTTGGTGCTTTTCTACTTCTCCCAGCAGCGCAGGGACAGGTACAGAGGCTGCAAAAAGGCTCTATTGTGTTTTTCACATTTTGCTGTGTTACTTCCAGTGTAAATATGTATAGGGTTAGTTTGTCGAAATTTCAGGTGAAGTTCAGAACAGAAGGCCAAAGTAAAAGTTAGAGTGCTAAGAATTAGGATTTTATTTTCATAAAAATGCTGAGACATGCTATTATCTGAGTCTGTGAGCTGGGAGGCCTTCTTTCATTTTCTGACTTTTCAGTAAGTATTTTGCTAGGAGACTTTTAAGATAAAAGAAAATCTCATGGTTTAATAATTATCATGTGGTGACCAAGACAGCTTAATTTGTTGACTGTTTTTGAAACTTCTTTTTTCTTAAAGTCTGTTAGCAGTTTTTAAATTCCAACAAAAAGGCAGATGTTTATGTATGCAAATTTCACCTTTGAGCAAACTTTATCTGCTTGTCTATGTTTAAAAAAAAATAGTCAGGAGAAAAGACATTTCCTGTGAAACTGAGCATTACTGATTTAGGTATTTTTATATTTAAAGATTAATTTTATATTTTTTAGGTGAATGCTCTTCTGGTATGTTTATCTCCTTATCAGACATTATACAAGCTAATTCTACCCTCGGGCTTTTGAGTAGAGTCTGCTTGGAGAAACAGTGTTGTACAGCCATATTTGCCTGAAGTTAGAGCTTGTGCTGTCCCTGGATTTGTGCCAGAAGCAAACAATTACAGAACCTGCCAGAGTCCTGGGCCTGTATTATTTTATTTCCCCAGAGATGTTTATAAGGGGACTGTTGCCAAACTCAAGATCCATTAAACTGCTGAATCATTACATTCTCCATTGCAGCCAGCTGGCAAGGATGTTATTCCAAGCACTCACTGTCAGGTATCTTGGGTCAATGCACTCTCAAAAGTGCCTCCTTATGTTTATTTGTATAAGGCCTTGAAGGACGCCACGAGGTGCAAACCACAACATGTAAATATAGACAGATTTCCAGCAAGAGTGTCAGCAGTTTTTTTAATGTGACTCTTTTGCTAGTGATGAGCTGCATAGTTGAGGTCTTTTCATGCCCTGTTGGGGCAGTCTGACTTTCAGTAGAGAGGATTATTTTGTTATTCTAGCCACCCAGACAAATGTTAAGAAATGCCCTTTTAAGGACTTTGGGAATTAGGCCAGTATTTTTTTTTGTTCTGTCTTGTACATTGATCAGATGGTTCACATGCTCCTGCATTGATGCATCCTTAATATATATACCTGGAAGAAAGGATCATTTTGACCTACACCAAACACTGCACTTACTTGGACTGACACTTCTTTTTAATATATGGAAGCAGGTTTTTTTGGAGGCAGTGCTTTTCCTCTCTTTTCCCTGGTTATGTTTTATTCCAGCTTCATTGAATTTCCTGTTAATTACAGTAAAGATTGCTTAATTGGATATATTTGCAATTTTCGTTTGCAGGTTTTTTTGGAGGGGAGGGGTGGTGAGTGAGGAGTGTTGAAGTATACTTTCCACAGTGGAGTGTTTGTTTTCCCCTTTTTCCTGTCCTTTATTTTTACAGGTTATGGAACAAAACCTTGACAGGAGAAATGCTTATATTTTCTTTGTACTGTTTCTCTCAGCCTTAAACTTATAATTCAGGAGATGCTTGTGCTGTTCTTAATGTTTTCCCAAAACGACTTCTGCCTTCATTAGATCATGTTTAATATTAATGCACAGCAATTGCTTTTGGCAAAACTAATGCTTCGCTTCCAAACTGCTTTGCAAAAAAAAATAAAATGCACATTTTTAAGAGCCTTAGCCTATTTTCTAGTGACCTCTTCAGAAAAAAAATGTAGTAAAGTGTGATGTACACAAGAAATAATATTGAATCTTGTATTGCCTATTATATATTTTTTTCTCTGCTTGTAAGCAGACAGCAGCCACCATTATGCTTTCAGAAACCCTAGGGGAGTTGCACCAACACTCAGTAAAATCTGCAGATTTCTGAGACCATGTATTGCTTTTACAGCAGGTATTTATAAGACAGCACATGACTAAATGGACTACTGACCTTTGGTCAAGCAAAAGTAACTTAAGTGAACTCTTTTTCTAAACTACCTTCTTAACCCTCACAGGAATGCTGAGGATCCCTAGGGGAGAAAAGGTGTGCCTTTCACCCCTGGTGATGAGGAGAGTATTGAAGACTGACCATAGCATTAAAGGACAAGTAAATGTTGATCTTGGGGCTTGCTGACACCCTAGTAATTTGAGAATGATCCTTTTCTGGCTTTCACCCTAGTAGAAAAGTTGTCAGTTGTAAGCATTACAGTTTTGGTGTGATTAGTGACAAAATCAGAGTGTTTTAGAAACCTTTCTGAGGTGTCTGCCTATTGTGTGTGAAGGTTACATCATATTGACTTCCAAACTGCTGAGCTTGGGTGGATATACAACTCACACTTGTTCTTCTGCATTTTCCTGTATGTTTGTGTTAGGGTTTTCTTTTCTTGGTCTTACCCAAATATTCATTTCCTCAAGCATGCGCAGCTGTGGTAAAAGTTTCATACATTGTATATCTGAGGTGCTGTGCAGATGCACAGACTGCCTAACTCCTCCCTGTACTACTGGGGGGCTTTACAGGATATGCTGCAGCCTTGCTCCAGTAGGTATGATGACTTTGAGCACACATTGTAGATCCAGCACTTTGCTGGAGTCTCCATTTCCTTGGTGTGTGCATGAGCAATTTCCTTCTGTTTCTGGAGGAAGAAAAAAAAAGCAGAAAATTGCTGTTGCTAAAATACTTTATGCGGCCTGGTCCCTGAGGTGCCATTTATCCAGGTGCAGCTATGTGCTGAGTGAAAGCGTGTTGTGGGGTGTCTCAATCATTCTGGTCACCACTGTTTTCTAGAAAAGTGGAAGCTTTAGAATGTATCTCAAGAGTATATATGTAGCACAAGCACTATTATCTGCTAAGGAGTTGAACAACAAAGAGATGGTTTTAGATGAATTATCATGGAGGCTGCTGGTTGAGAAATTTTCTTCCTCTTAGAGGGACTGAAAACTAGGCTTTGATAATGGGATATCTGGATACTTTATATATCAGTTATTTACCTGCAGAAGTCTAAAATCTGCTTGTTACATTGTGTTACCTAGATTTAGAAATATCAGTCTGGATCAGTATACGTGATTTTCATGCAGTCTGTATTTATTTTTTTTAATACTATCAAACAGAGCAGGAGCATTGTCTTAAAGTGATTGAAACACTAACATAAAGGGCTGCTGTGAATTAAAAGACTATTGGCAGTCACAGTATCTGTTATAGAAACACAGAATGGAACTGCATGTATTTGTATTTAATTCCAGAAATTAGTATCTGATGGGGAGCAGCTTTTGGCTTGTTAAGCATTATTTATTGTTTAATCCACACGGGATTTGTTTAGTAAGGGTGTGTTTACTTATCATAGCACAACTATTTTTTTGCAAGTAGTTTGTGAATGTTGAAGAAATGCTACTTGTTATTTCATATGATGATATTATAGGAGAAAAGGAAAATGAAGATATAATAGATACTTGGATCCTAGCTCATCTGGTGAGATTGAGGGTGGCAGTGTCAAGGTTTTTCATTTGCACTTTTTTGCTCTGTGCTAAAGCCTACACACTTTGTTTTGCAGTAACTGTCTTACTCACTTATTATACTTCGTGGCTCATTGACCCAGCATGATGCAATGAAATCATAGACTTGTTTGAAATTCTTGTGCACAGTAATAATAATAATAATGAATAATAAAGTAATAAATTATTTCAAGGCTGAAGTATAAGATTTTATTATCCTGAATTTACTGTGTGTGATTGGAAGCAAACACTGTCTTTACGTATATTGATAAGTGGAATCCCAGTCTCCAGGGAATGAAAGGGGTGAGTTAGTGTGCAGCACACATGTGTCAGAAAAGACTTGACCCTCACTTCTGTATTGTAAGACCGTTCCAATCACTATGAAGTTATTTTCTGAGTGATGTTTCTCTTAAATTTTAAAATTTTGATTGTCTGAATTGATGTTTTTTTTGGTGCGTCTGTTGACAAGAATTATCCAGAGTTAGTTAGACCACAATGACCAATGACTTTAAGATCATTCAATTCAAGCACCACTGCCATGAACAGGGATACCTTTCTCTAGTCCAGGCTGCTCGGAGCCTGGTCCAGCGTGGCCTTGAACACTTCCAGGGATGGGGCATCCCCATATTCTCTGGGCAGCCTGTTCTGTGGCTCACCATCCTCACAGTAAAGGACTTATTCCTTTTGTCCTCCTCCTACATTGTAGGAGTTCAATGACACATCTGTAGAAGGAAGGTGGACAATGTGGATTTATGTTTCAAAACACAGCAGCACTTGGTCTGATGCCTGGAGAGAGGAGAATATAGGCTGGTGTGCTGTTGGCTGCTGCTGGCTGTGCCGCACAGCCGTGTTAGTGTACAGAAGCATGCTGCACACCATGGCAGCACTGGGACTGGCCAGTTAGCTGTAGCAGAGGCACTGAAGAGGCATTCAGTTCTGATTTAGGAACTTCGTATTAGGAAGGTGTTTCCATCTGGAAGTCTCAGTGGAAAGAACCTCCAAGAAGGAACCTCCAAGAAGCAATACAGTAAAACTTCTTGTTTCTGTGGTACCTCTTTGATATCTACAGGAGGCATTGATTTTTTTGTCTTTCAATGTTTCAGGGAGCATTCTCTTCAAGTGCATGTCTTTGGAAGCTGACAGAATGACAGAGCAGCAGGAGAAAGTACTGTCAGTTTTGGAGGAAAAGTTTCCAGATCTTCCACCACGAGAGGAAATTATCTCTGTTCTCCAGGAGACTCAGTTTAACACCCAAGGTAGTGCAACTTGTTCCGTTGTTCAGACCTGTTAAAAATTTATTTGTGTAATTGTATCAGAATACTGTTTTATTGTGTGTGGTGAAAATAGGTGCAACATGCTATCTTCATTGACAGCTAAGTGTTGTATATTAATTTTAAATTAAGTTGCTGCCATTCTAAATCATGGAATTGTGATTTCTTTTGAGGAACTACTTAGCTCATAACTAATCTTGTATTGTTTTTACAGATAAAGTTAACAATTTATTTTACATATTGCTTTTACAAGTGTATGTTCATCAAGAATTTATGTTGATTCACGTGGACATAAAAATGTGTGAGCCCATGGGCAGAAATTGTATTGCAATTGCCTATGTGATGTGGAAGTAGATTTTGTGTACAGGTGAAATCAATTTGACATCAGACTCAGATTACGGAAGCAGCAGGAAAGTTGCAATTCTTTTCCTTTCTTCTGACAGAAATACCGAGTAGAAATATTCAGTGCTGTAAAGTAGCAATGTTTGAACCCAAAATTTAGTAGCAGGCTGTTGAAGAGCTGCTGTGAAAGTCTGAAGAAAATTGTTGTAATAACTCTTACAATTTTTAGTGGCATTTGCTGCTAAGTTCTTAACAAAGAGGGAGTACTAAATTCCTAGGGATATTTCTCTGTTAGATATATCAGGTAATTAGAGGGTCCACGCAGACTCAGGGTCTTTATTTGTTCTCTATCTGCCCATGTGCAGGAAGTAGTCATTGAAATTCAGACCATCAGCCTGAGACAGCTGCCCGCTCTGGTAGATAAGGACAGAATTTGAGGTGCTGCTTCTTTTGCCTTTTCTGTCAGTGACTTTACAGGATAGTTTAGTTCAGGTCTATAAAGTTTCACATGAATTCTCTTAAGTTCCTCTACTCAAGTAATCAGTACAGTTCAGGAATGAACTGTTTGCAGTCAAGATTGGAAAGTGGCTGTGAAAGTGGCTTTCATGGAATTCAGTTCTTAGTTCTGCCAGTTGCCAGAGAAAATGGTTTAGTATTGTTTGTCATGAAGTCTTCTGTGATATTGAATGTAAAACTTGGATGAGCAGATGTAGTGGGTGTAGTCTGCGTGGTACTGGTTGCCAGTAATTTATAAATGTCACATGAGACATGGGGAGGGAACTGTCATGTACTCTTCTTTCTTCTTTTTCTTTTTTTTTTCTTTTTTTTTTTTTTGGCTTATGTCTCCTGTTTTCTGTGTATTACAAGGTGCATATTTACTGTATAACATACACATATATTGCATGTGACATTTCTTTTAGTAGGATGCTGCTGAGTTTCAGGAGCTCCTTGAAGGATGTAACCTCTACTGAGTATTTTATGTAATACACGAGTATTTTACCTAATACACATTTTACCTATTTGAGGCAATATTAGGGCATGCAGCCAAAATATTTCTCAGTTTCTGGCACAAGTCATTATTTATTGGCCTGAATTAATTTGTTATTTAAGGCACAATAGGTTGCAGCCCCCCAGAAAGTTTATAGATTATATAGAAAATTTTTTAAATGACAGATGTGTATATGTTCATCTTGTCATTAGATTGACTGCAGGGTAATTTAGTTCAGGTCTATAAAGTTTCACATGAATTCTCTTAAGTTCCTCTACTCAAGTAATCAGTACAGTTCAGGAATGAACTGTATGCAGTCTAGATTGGAAAGTGGCTGTGAAAGTGGCTTTCATGGAATTGACTGCAGCAACTGGACTCAGTATAGGAACAGTAATGAAAGGATTAATTTCTTTGACTGAGGTTGGTATTTGTTTCCCTCTTGAAAATAATTTGTACAAACACATGGTGGATGTTAAACTGCTATTCCTTAAAGGTTGGTGGGCGTTTTACTTGTTGCCCTGCACCGAGATAGGTGGCTTTCAGCATTCTTTACATAGACATTTGGCTATCGTGTCTGTCTTGCAATCATGTGATGCAGTTATGTTCTTTTACATAGTATGCATTTGTTCTGAGACTCTTTGCAACATGTTAGGCAAACACGTCCAATGAAGGAAACTTAGTCACTTGAACTTTCAAAACATTGGGCTTAAACATACCAATATATCTGGTTGCAATTCCTGTTTTACACCACTGTTTCTGTTGATAATGTTTCTATGGTGAACACGTACTTAGTTCATAAATGATTTGATGTACATAAGAAAAACCCATTGGTGTTACCAATTTGTGAAGAAGGTCAGAAAGGTCGAATGACTGTGTTTACAGAATATCTTAAGTTCCTTGCTTTTGAATATTTCATAAACACCATAGTAGTCCACAGGTGCTTTCAATATGTTAATTATTTCAGAAGTAATTTTGTATTTGTGATTTCATATTAGGTCATAGAAATTGCCTAGCTATACATTTATCATCAACTGGAATTACGTTCACTTAAAAACTTCAGTGTTCACACAGGCACACAGATGTTGCAGTAGACTTAATTCTTCATACTTGTTAGTGTGTATCCTCTGTTAAATCTCTTCCTTTCTTAAAACAATCCCTCTAGAAACATTAAGCATTGAAATATTAATGTTATCTTTAATTTTCTCATACGATGTCCTGAAATACCGAAAGAAGGTTCAGCATTAAGGTCTAAACTTTGTTTTTAATTTATGCTTGTGCATCTGTCAGCTGTAGATAATTGTATATATGGAAATGTGTTTATTTTCTTAAACAGGTGTGAGCATTGAGGAGGTTATGCTCAAGGATCTCAAGGAGATTTCAGATGGAGAAATCAAAGTAGCGATTAGCACTGTGTGTGTGACACTGGAGGTAAGAGGAAACTTAAAACATGTTTAACAGCCTTGTTGCATATGGAGATAGTTGTTTTAAACAGAATGTGAGCAAGTTATTTTCCCAATATTTTTTCCAGTATGAACAGAATTTTCAGTGATTTAATTAACTTTGAGAGAAGTAGTAGCTATTTGTTATCTGACTTCCATTATTATGATATTATAATTATTTGCTCCCTTTAGATTGTGCTGTGGTGTGTTAAAAACAGTGGTATAAACAATTTGGAACCTTTGGGTGAATTGAAGGTGTGAGCTTTCTACCTTGATGTGAAGAGTTACATGTTGCTGGTTATTATGTAAAAATATTACTTTAAAAATATGAACGCTTATATCACTGAACAAGTATAACATGATACTGTTATTTCTGATTGAAGTTTGCATACTGGCATATTGATTAGTAATAAAACCTAAGTGATCTGAAGAAAATATCAATAGCAGAAACATCTTTATATAGTATATGTTTGTAATTTTCCGTCTGTTCATTTGCATGAAAGTCACGTATACAGAAGTATTTGAAATGTAGAAGAAATTTTCATCTACTTTTGCACTAAATAAAAACTTTTTTTTTATGTGAAATGCTGCTAAAAAAAAATCAAGTCTCTTGAATAGTTCTTGCCTTGTATGTCCTAAGAAATTTTTTTATAATATGTGTCTTGTTTTTTTTATTTTACAAAAAATTTATTTTACAAAAAATAAGATGCTTCTGTGGTTGAACAAGTTTTGGTTACAATCCAGCTAATAATTACCCATAGATTTCTGGTTGCATACTAAAATACAGAAAGCAAATTATGTAGCAAAGCTTCAAAAAATGAAGTAGAATCTGTTAGTTTTCAATTAGTTGTTCCAATATTAAGCAATCTTTACTACCAAAACAGCACTGCTTTATGAACCATAATTTGATCCTAAAAATTAGGCTGAGGCTGGGCAGAAAGGGCATGGGCAAAGAGTGTGGTAGGATAAATCCCCAAAAGAGAAAATGGGATTTTATAAAGTTCTTAATAAAATCCTCATCTTCTTTTGTTTTAAATCTTTCTCTTTTATGCAGTCAGTTTCAGTTAATGGTGGACCGAGCTAGGAGCTAGCTTTAGCATTAGATTTTCTTTTTGTTTATTTTGCATTAAATCATGTTTGATAACTATTTAGAGTACAGACCTTTCACTCCACAGGTTTAAGCTCCAGGTAAATCTCTTCTGACCTTGTCTTTGCAACTCTATATGCTCAAATTAATTGTAACTCAGAACTTGTCTTCCTTTTGGCTGGATCTCACAGTTTGACTTTGTTGAGAATAGGTGTTCCTAGTTCTCAAAGCAGGCAAATTTTCAACCTTTTCTCAGTGCAGTGTAACATGTAATTCTGACTTACCTTGGCCAAGAAGCATTAAGATCTGGTGGTCAAGCAGTAAATGTTTCATAGTTCTTTTTCTTACATAGCTAGTGGTCATTTGGTGGGCAGAGGAGACTCATTTGCCTGTAAGAACAAACTGAACAGATTTTACTGATAGATGATTTTTAGTCCCAGTCTGCTAAGTAATTTTATTACTAGTATTTCTGATGGGATTTCTTTCTGGAAGTCGCAGGTGTCTTCCTTTGCTTTTTGCTCTGTTGTTGTGCTGTGAATAGTTTGTGCCATAATGGACTAAGTTTTCAGGAGTGTAACTGCTTTTTTTTCCCCTAAGCGTAATGTTTGTAAAGCTATTGGGATGGAGATGCATTTTGCATTTGCTACATTATTGCTCTTTGTTGAAATGAAAACACCTAATTTTTGGTGCTTGGCCAGCAAAAGATGTTTTTTTTCTCAGTTTTATTAGTGATAGGGATCACACGTAGTTTCTTCACCCTGTGTCAGAAGCACAATACATATAAGAAAATGAATGACAAAACTGTCCAGACCTTTCTATTCAGTTTAGAATTGTTATGAACTCAGAATACACAGACTTAAATGAATTCACTATTTTCTCAGCAATGATAGTGGTAGTTTGTTATTCATCCTTAAAGTCCTCCACAGATGTTACCTGATTAAATATTAAGGAAATATGAAGAACAGGCTTGGCAACAGGTGTTGAATCTCTGGTGTGTTTGTGTGTTTGCTTTTTCAGAAGTATCACAAGGTCACTTTTTTTTCCTTAATAATCAACAAATATGCAAAAGTATCTTCCAATAAAGTGCTTTCTGGAGGGCAGTCATTTTGTGTGAAGGTGTTTAGGTTTCTCTAAGAGTCCATGTGCAGCTTTTGCATTTGTTGAGATCTTTCGATTTGGCCCTCCTGGATTTAGGTGGCATCAAAGCTGTAAGCTGAAATCAGACCTGTGTCACCAGTGACCAGCTTCAGAGTATGTGCTGCTTGAATTTTACATACGTAACCACTTTATTTTTGATGAGAAAGACAAAATAAAAGCGACACTGCCCAGATCACAGTTATTTTTGTAGCCTTTGCTGGAAAATTTCTCCAAGTCCTAATACAGGTTACTCATAAGATATTGCAGCAAAATTCAATGCATGTGTTACAGTTAATTTCTGTTACATTTTGGTATACCCTTAGAATATCTTTTGCTGCTTCTCTGCTGGAATTCTCTTGCAAATGAGAAACTTTTTCTCAATGTGGCTTTCTGGGAAAGTAATATTACTCCTGAGAAATTAATATGTCTGTTCTAAAGTGATCTCTTTTCTCTGCTTTTTTAAGTGTAGTGCACTGGGAGAACAGTCCAGGTTTCATGAATGTTTACCTCAGTTGAAACAGCTCATTATAACATAGATTAATAATATGTTTGTGGGACAAAGTCTTTTATCTGTTTGTTCATGAAAATTCATTCAAACTTTCACAGAACTTACAGAAAATCAGTTACCACCTGAGGAAGCAGGTCAGTCGGTTGAAAACAAGTTCTGTGATTGTCTGCTAGTGACTGTGGCAGACAAGATGGTGCTCTGAAGGTCTGTTGAGGTTCATGCCTCATGCATCCACATACTTCATGAAGACAGTTTCCAATTAGTAGGGGTTGTATGCCATGTAAAAGCTCAAAAGAGAACATGTGAGAGCTGCAGTGGAGGCTGCTGAGACCAGTGTTGTTTCCTCTAGAAAGTGACCTGCACATTGATGTTGCTGCAGGAAGCTTGACTGTCCTTAGGTAGCCTCCACAGTCCAAATGAGTTTGGGATAGTACCAATAGGAAGTTCTATTTCTTGTAACAACTTCCCCCTTTGTGGCTTTATGCCTCAGAGGAACTTATAAGCCCTCAAGTGTTTGGGTGCACAGCTTATCATCTTCCTATGAAAAATAGTCTTATCTTGGAGATAGATTTTAATTTTAAAGGTATTTTGTAGTATTAGTAGGAAATGCCACCGTTTCTTAATTTGGACAATTTTATTTCTGTGTTTTGAAAAGTGATGTTTTTAATACTTCTGTAAATCAAATCAAGGACCTCTGTCTTAGCTGAAGTACATCAAACAAGTGCTAGGTAGACCATTACACCCAAATAAGTGAGATTACAATGTATATCTTTCAAGATTTGAACTTCTGTTGTCTATCTATAATGATTATGTAGATATATTGTGTATTTCAGAAGTTTTTTCTCTTGGTATAAATATAAACGTATTTTAAATGGCAGATTGGTCCATGAATTTGTTTTTAATGCAAAAGACAAAACAAGAAGCAAACCTCAAGTAAACATGTTAACATTTAATCTTCCAGTAATGGAATTGGAAACAAAATTCTCAGCAACTTACAATAGCAATGCGGTTCAAAAGTATTTTTCTGATGCCTGTTGTGAGAAGTTAGGGTATGTAAAATAAATGATGTATAGAGCTGTAGGAATGCGACTTTTGCAGACTACCTTATGTCTAAGGAACATTAAACATAGGGTTCTCGTTTAGCAAATAAATAACCATTCATTTCAATGGCTGCATAGTCTGGACTTTTGTGCATATTTTTGTAAAGATGAGAAGAGGCCATTAGGGATTTAATATAAAATAAATCGCCACGGGGTCTTCTTGTCGTCCTAGTCTTTCTGCCACATGGTGTGTCACTAATGTGCATAAATGGGCTTAAATGAATTTGTTATCTGTATTACATTTGCAGTATGTATATATTTATATATTATATTTTAATTGTGTTTAAAAATAAAACATTAAATACATCATTTCTGAGAGTTGAAAACATACCATTTGTAAATAAATCAACCTTAATTAAGGTCTTAAAATGTCAGTGTGTGATATCTGCCTTAGGAAAATTTATAACATATATCGTACACAAAGCTTAAACATACTTTTACTTGCTCTTTCAGAAGTATTAAGAGGCTGAAGTCATAACCTCATATGACTGAGTAATGCAGCCTCACGTGCATTAATGTAAATACCATACTCATGCTTAAACATCAGACTGCCGTCTTCTGGAGGACAACAGCTGTCCAGTTGATGTCTCGGGTCAGCCAAAATACCTCAGTTGTACCGAGTGCAATCCAAGGCGTGGAGAGGTTAGGCAAACTGAATTCTCTATAGTGACTTTTCTCAAAAGACATGAAAGGAATCTGGTGGGCAGAGCCATTTAAGTGGTGGTTTTGAGTGGTTGCCGTTGCAGCCAACTGGGAAATAAGCCAGGCAAATCAGAGCAGTGACAACTGTTTCTTCATTGCCTCCCAAGATAAGAGCAAGACCTGGCACTTCATCTGCATTTAGACAAATACGCAAAGCCAGGAGAATAAACACTAGGCACTCAGCACCCTGTTAGGGTATCACAGGAGTAACTGAAACATGGTAGGACAACTCCCATGACTGGAGGAATATGATGGATAGGCTGTTTTGTAAAGAGAGTCAGGGAAGAAGAGGAGGGGGACTTGCACTGTAAGTTAAGGAGAAACTCAGATGTCCAGAAGTCAACTACAGTGACCATAGAAGCCCTCAAATGCCTCTGGGTCAAGGTTAAAAGGGTCATCTCAAAGCAGTATTGTGGAGTTTGTGCAATCTGAAGGTTAGCACTAAGGCAGAGGTT